TTTAATATATGCATTTATCTTAGAACTGCTTTTGCTACATCCCATAGGTGGGTTGGTTTTTGTTTTTTTTTTTGCCTGTTTTATTAAACAAATGGGTTCTGTTTTATTTTAGAGCAGGCTTGTGTGAATCGGGGGTGGTGTGAGAGGGAAAGAGGGGAGAGAGCATTCCAAACAGGCTCCACACCCACCATGGAGCCCTATGCAGGGTTTGATCCCACAACCCTGAGATCATGACCTGAGCTGAAATCAAGAGTTGGACACTTAACTGACTGAGACACGCAGGTGCCCACTACATCCCATAGTTTTTGATATGTTTTATTTCCTTTTCCATCTGAAGATTTTTTAAAATTTCTTCTTTGATTTTTTTTTTCTTTGACCTTCTAGTTGTTCAATAGTATATTGTTTAATCCTTATATATTTGTGAATTTCCCAGTTTTCTTGTAAATGCTTTCTAATTTTATGCCATTGTGTCAGAAAAGATGCTTGATATGATTTAAATCTTCTTAACTTTATTAAGATTTGGCCTAACATATGATTGGTCCTGGAGAATGTTCCTGTATGCTTGCGAAGAATGTATATTCTGCTGCTTTGGGATAGAATGTTCTGTAAATGTCTATAAGTGTCTGTTAAGTGTCATATTACTATTTCTCCTTTCTATTTTAGATTTATTAATATTCACTTTACATATCTACATACTCCTGTGTTTTGTGCATACTTAGAAATGTTACATACTCTTTATGATTTGTCCCTTTTATTATATAATGATCTTTGTTTCTTGTTACAATCTCTGTCTTAAAGTCTGTTTTGTCTGATAGAAGTATAGCTACCATAGCTTGCTTTTGGTTTCCATTTGTGTGAAATACCTACTTCACTTTCAAACTGTGTGTGTCCTTAAAGTTTGAATCTTGCAGTCAGCATGTAGTCGTGTCTGGTTTTTTATCCATTTAGCCACTCTCTTTTGATTGGAAAATTTAGTCCATTGACTTTTAAAATAAGTGTCAGCTTAGTGTTGCTGTTTTGTAATTCCTCTGTTCTCTTGCTTTGTGATTTGATGATTTCCTCTATGCTTAGTCTTCTTTATCTTTTGTGTATCTGTTAAAGGTTTTTGCAAACCTGTAGTAGGTTTGCAAACCTAAAACCTAAAGCCTATATAAAACGTCTTCTAGTATTCTAAGTTGATAATAAATTAGAATGCATACTGGAGTTCTATATTTTTACTCTTCCTGCTCCCATACTTAATTCTTAATGTCATAATTTACATCATTTTACCTTGTGTAGCCATTAAAAATTGTTATTTTTGCTACTTTTGTCTTTTAACTTTCATGCTAGATTTAGACCTGATTTACCCGCCAGTTACAACATTAGACTTCTCTGAATCTAACTATATATATTTACCTTTGCTAGTGAGATTTGTACTTTCATATGCTTTCCTATTACTAAATAGCACCCTCTTATTTAAAGAAGTTAAAAATTTCTTGTAAGGCTGTTCTAGGGTAAATGAATTCTGCTTCAGCTTTTGCTTGTGTGGAAAACTATTTCTCCAGTTCCAAAGGACAATTTTGCTGAGTCAAATAGCTTTTCTTGGCAGTTTTTCTCTTTCAGCACTTTGAATATATTGTGCTATTCCCTTTGGGCCTGAAAAGCTTCACCTGAAAAATCTAAGGATAGTGGTATGGGGGTTCCCTTGTACATAACAAGTTGTTTTTCTCTTGTTACTTAAAAGATTCTCTCAAATTAAATTTGACTATTTATTTATAGTGAATGTTAGTGTGGGGTCTTTGGATTCATCTTATTTGAAAGTTTCTGGGCTTCCTGGATCCGGATGTCTGTTTCCTTTACCCAGGTTAGGGGAGTTTCCGGCCGTTATTTCTTTGAATTGGCTTTCTGGCTTTGTTTGCTCTCTTCTCCTCCTGGGACCCTTACAGTATATGTATTGGTCCACTTGCTGGTGTCCCACAAATCCCTTAAGCGATCTTCACTCTTTTTTATTCATTTTTCTTTTTGTCCTCTGTCTAGATAAGTTCCACAGTTCTGTCTTTGAGTTTGCTAATCTTTTCTTCTGCTTCATCTAGTCTGTTGATCCCCTGTATTGAATTTTTCAGTTTAGTTACTATATTTTTTAATTATGTGACTGTTTGATACTTTATGTTTTCTCTTTGTTGAGATTCTCATTTTGCACACAGTTGGTTCTCCTGATCTTGGTGAGCATGTTTATAACCACCATTTTAAAGTCTTCATCAAGTTGGAGTCCTTATCTCTGTTTCACTAAGGTTTATCTGACTTTATCTCATTCTTTTGTTTAGAATGCATTCTTCTTTTTCTTCGTTTTTCTCTCTGTTGGCCTCTGTGCACTAAGTAAAACAGCCACTCTTCCAGGCTTGAAGGAGTCGTGCCTGTCCCTAGCTCTCGGGTGTCTGAAACCTTTGTGATAGTCCAAATGGCCACCTTTGTTCGTACCGGCTCCCGACACCTGAGCGTGTGCCAAGGCCCATTTCGGTATCACTTTGTTTCTCGTTCACCTGAGGTATAGGAGTCTTCCAGCTAGTTTCTGGATTCCCTTCTGAGGGAATTGTTCCATGTATAGCTGTAGATTCAGTGTGTCTGTGGGAGGAGGTGCATTCAGGAGCCTTTGTATTGCTATCTTAAACTGGAACCTTCTCATTTCTGTTTTTATATGGTAACAGCTCATATTTACTTACAAATGATACTGTGTTGTTCTGCAACTTTTTTCTGTTAATGCTTTAAAAATCTGTGTTGAGGGGCACCTGGATGGCTCAGTGGGTTAAGCCGCTGCCTTCGGCTCGGGTCATGATCTCAGGGTCCTGGGATCGAGCCCCGCATCGGGCTCTCTGCTCAGCATGGAGCCTGCTTCCTGCTCTCTCTCTGCCTGCCTCTCTGCCTGCTTGTGATCTCTGTCTGTCAAATAAATAAATAAAATCTTTAAAAAATAAAATAAAAATAAAAATCTGTGTTAATATTTACAGATCCAGTTCATTCATTTTTATTAAGTTCCACTTGTATGAAAATATGTATCACCATTTCCTCTATTGTAGGACATATAGGTTGCAAAAGTGTAGTTATGAAAAGTAGAAACAATGAACAACCTGTAACACGGGCAAAGATTTCTCTAGAATTTTAGGCCACCTGGCTGGCTTAGTTGTAGAGCATGGGACTCTGGATCTCAGGGTTTTAGAGAGCACGGGATTCTTGATCTCAGGGTTGTGAGTTGTAAGTTCGAGCCCCATGTAGGGAATAGAGCTTACTTAAAAAAAAAAAAGAAAAGAAAAAAGTTTCCATAGGCTCTACATCTAGTAAAACTGCTTTTTACTACAAAAATATATTTTTTTCTCTTGATTGTTTCATCTTCCTCCCCTTAAACTTTCCCAAGTAATTGCTAGGTAAGCCTCACCTAGTAACCTACATGTTTCCCTTCTGTACACATAAACATATCCCATCTTAAAAACTTACCGTAAGTCAAAATGTTATTTTCATTGGATCTTCAGTGAAAAGAATACATTATGAATGTCATAAAAACATCATTTAAAATCAGTTGTGCAAGTCCGTTTTTCTTAAGATCTTACTTTTTTATGATTTATCTATTTTAGAGAGAGAGGAGGTAAGCAAGCCAGTAAAAGGGCTGAGGGAGAGGGAGAAAGCATCTTAAGCAGACTCCCCACTGAGCCTGGAGCAGGACACCGGCTTCCTCTTAGGACCCTGAGATCCTGACCTGAGCCAAAACCAAAAGTTGGATGTCCAAGGGACTGAACCCCGCAGATGCCCCAGTCTTATTATTATTATTTTTTTTAAAGTAATCTCAGTGCCCAACATGGGGCTCAAACTCATGACCCCGAGATCAAGAGTTGCATGCTCCACTGACAGACCAATCAGGCACCCCCTTAATATCTTATATTTGAAATGAATTCGAAAGATTTGAATTAAAAGAGTGAAAAAATAAAAAGCTTAGGGAAATTTGAATTCTATGGGAAGGTTTAAAGATATCAAACTAATTTTCTTAACCTTAGAATTACTCACTTTTCTGAAAAGGCATGGAGTCTCCTCTACACAACTAGCAGATGCCCAAGTACAACTAAAAACAGTGGAACATAAAACTGTTTATGAAGTGACTTGTTAGATCACTTAGGCAGTATGGAATTAGGGGTAACTTAACTACATAAGGAAAAATTGGGACTACTTAGAAAATGCTGAATTATGTTAACCTTTTCTTCTAAGCATGTTGCTTTATAAGGGTAAGATGTCGATGTACTTATATCCTACCTCCTCAGGACCTAGGTAGGTGTAAAAGGATAGCAGACATAGGGCTTCGATGATTTAACATTTTCTTTCTCCAGCACCACTTCCTTCCACTTAATTCCAATGTTGCTCCATTTTCAACCCAAAGTTGAAAAGAACCTAAGTGCTTTTTTGAGACTGTATACCGTTGTGTGTATTGGTCAGACTAAACATTACAAATAAATACAAATTAGTTAGGGGCACCTGGGTGACTCAGTCAATAAGTGTCTGCCTTCAGCTCAGGTCATGATCCCAGGGTCTTGAGATTGAGCCCCACGTCTGGCTCAGCAGGGAGTCTACTTCTCTCTCTGCCCCTACCCCCACTTGTGTGCTCTCTCAAAATTTTTTTTGAAGATATTTTATGTATTTATTTGACACAGAGAGAGAGAGATCACAAGTAGGCAGAGCAGCAGGCAGAGAGAGAGGGGAAAGCAGACTCCCTGCTGAGCAGAGAGCCCGATGCGGGGCTCAATTCCAGGACCCTGAGATCATGACCTGAGCCAAAGGCAGAGGCTTATTAACCCAATGAACCACTCAGGCGCCCCTCTTGTCAAAATTTTTTTTTAAAAATACAAATTAGTTACAGGAAAGAGTACATTTAGCACATTCACAGTCATTCTTTTTGGATTTGTTAATTTTACTATTTGATTTCCACCTTAACATTTCTGGCTCTATAGGAACTAATGGTACATGTCTCTTCCATGTTTTAGGACTTTCCACGCATAGAAAGCCACCCTACAGATCTCATTCGCTCTCTCCATCTCCAGTTAACAAAAATACACCGTTCCATATAGAGAGAAAACGTCAGCGAAAGCCAAAAGAAACAGATATTCGCCAATTCCAAGCAAAGGTACATCCCATCTTTGACTATGATTGGAAAGCAGGCAATACCGTTTACCTTCAACCAAATACTACAGTGAATGTCCTGCTGATTAAAGGCTTCAGGTGCATTTAATATTCTCGAACTGAGTGGATGGTAGGAGATTATGTGACATAGCTTTTATGTCCCCCCTCCCACCTTTATGGAACATAAAATTTATACATGTGCTACTCTAAGAAAATTAACCTTGTCAGATATAACCCAGTACTCAGCGGATTCAAAAAGAGTAGATCAGTGTGGGGTGATATTTTCAGAGAGTGCTTCAGAAAGGATGAGAATTGGAGGTGGATTAAAAGTGATAGGCTAGTTGAGTTTCAGGTAGGATTAAAGTGCCAAGACAGGAATGAGAGGAGGTGGTTAAGATTCAATATGGAGAATGTATGATTACCAAGGAAGGCTTTCTGCTGTTGAATAGGGATTTTGAAATGCAGATTAATTTAGAACATGTACATTGTTTGCTATAGTATGTTTTATGATAGTGAAATAGTGAAAAACTGAAATTAATTCAAATGTCTTATAATAACATGTAACTTCCATTCAAGGGACTATGAAAGTAATAAAACCGGAGAACAAAAAATGGGTTGTGTCCCATTTTGGGGTTATGTCCCAATTACATGTCTGTTAAATATGTTTATAATGTTTATAATGTAATATTAAATATATTTAGGATAACAGGGACCCAAAAGGAACTTTTAAAAAAAAAATGGAATGACAGAATCTTAGGTTAATTTTTTCCCCTACATTTTCATTTTTATATGCTTTTATTAACTGTAATGTCATATGGCTTTTTCTGCTCTAGGCACTAACTGAAGCATTTGAAAGGGAACTAAGAAGAAATAAAGTTCAAGAGAATATTGGATCTCTAGGAATAAATGAGGAGGAAACAGTGGGTAAAAGTCTCTACTATAATAAATGCAACTTGATCAGATCAGTGGAAGTACAGAGATCTTTTTAAATTTTTTTTATTTGAAGAAAAACTTTTTAAAAAGATTTTATTTGTCAGAGAGAGCACACGCAAGCAGGGGGAGTGGCAGAGGGAGAGGGAAAAGCAGACTCCCCGCCTAGCAAGGAGCCCCATGTGGGACTCGATCTCAGAACCCTGGGAGCATGACTCAAGCTGAAGCAGATGCTTGGTACCAAAAGATACCAAACACTTTTCCTTCCTGCCCAAAACGCCCATCAGTTTTTAAGAGGTTCTGTTCATCAAGGGTTTAAAAGATAGTTGGGGGACACCTGGGTGGCTCAGCTGGTTAAGACGCTGCCTTCGGCTCAGATCATGAGCATAGGGTCCTGGGATCAAGTCCTCCATCAGGCTTCTTGCTCTGCAGGGAGCCTGCTTCTATCTCCACCTCTGCCTGCCACTCTTCCTACCTGTGCGTGCGCACGCGCTCTCTCTCTCTCTCTCTCTCTCTCTGACAAATAAATAAAAATCTTTAAAAGATAGTTGGGGCTGACAGGTTAAAGGGGAGTGAGGAGATCCCACTTACTCTGTGCCTGGGTGGAAGAAGCACAAAGCAGACATGTCCATTGCCTTTTCAAAAGGATGGTTACAGAAACTAAGTGAAAACAGGAAAAATGCTTGTGCTGGAATGTTCATGAACAAAGCAGGATATAAAATACAGTATGGTTATAATAAACATTGTTTAAGAACCTTTTTAGTTTACATGGAAAAAGTTGCCAAAGAAGCCAGTACATCAAAACATTATTAGTGGTTGTATTTAGGGTGTGGGACTACAGTGACTCTGAAACTCAAAAAGGATTCAGTGCTTTTTAACATTCCAAAGGGTGCCAGAAGCCAAAAGATGCTTTTAACTCAGATAAACACTAACCAGATTTTAGAAATTGGAAGTAAGGTGTTTGGTTGGGGATTAGTTAGCTATTTTTTTCTTTCCATGTGTACTATTTAAGATAATGTATGAGAGAGTTATTAGACTTTTATTTGTATTCTGTTTTATGTCTGCTCCTAAGGAAAAAACATACAGAGAAGCTGCTCATAAAGGAACTCCAAAACGTAGTCAGCCCTGGAAGACTTACTCTAGAAAAACCACAACTCCAAGTCCAAGAGGTGGCTTGCCAAAGCCAAATAAAGCAGTTCCAAGTAAGAACCACAAAATTGTACTTTATGGAAAACTGGCATTCTTTGAAAGTGTGTGCTACATTCCAAGGACACAGCACTGAAAACTTAACATCCATCAGTTAGCTGGAGAAAGTTCCTCTTTTATCACTGCCATATGCTAGATTTCTATAAAGAGAAAGATAAAAGTTGTAAATAAGGCATTTATTTAAAACTCTTAATAACCTTTGGAGGCCCATATATTGGTACCGGAGGCACAAATGGGCAGGACTACCTGCTGCTCCGGCTGCAGCTTCACTCTGCTCACTCACACTAGTTGCTTCTTCGTTTCTGGGAAGTTGGTAGAACCCAAGGGTTGCTCCAAAGCAAGCAGATGTCCCGTCCAGCCCTGTTATATTGACAGCTGGTGCTAGTGAGTGTTCGAGTCCTGTTACAAGGAAAACGAGGTCATGTGAAATGCCAGGGTTGCATTTCAAACACTGCTCGCCTTCTAACGACATCCCACCAGACAGAGACTTTGCCTCCCAGTAGGGCTGAGGAGTGTTCGGCCACACACACAGCGTCCAGCCCAGTCGCGGAGTCAGCTGAGCAGTTAGGATGGACTTCACCAGAACAACGTGTCATCAGTCAGGATGCTGAGCTGATTCTCATCCTTACGGCAGCTGGTGCACTCGGGTCAGAGGAGTGCGGAGGTTAAGGACATGTGTTTACGTTTAGTCTCCAGGATCAGAACTGCATCACTTAGAAAGCTTTGCTCTACCAGGAAGGTAGAATGAGAGTGCTTATTAAAAGCTATCAGCAAGTCTCTCAGATTAAAGGGTTTTGTGCTTGTTTTGTTTTACCTTGCAGTGAAAGTAAATGAACACAGTCTCCTGCCCCTCATGCTGGAGCAGTTTCCATTTCTCTCTGTTTCTGGCCAAACACTAAGCAAAATGTGGAAACAGCAAATTACACAGGTTGAACAGCTCAAAAAAGATGCATATAGAGAAAATCGATCAAAGAAAAAACTCCAGGATGAAGTAAGTTAACTGTCAATTACAAGCTTAGGAATATAAAGCAGAAAGGGGAAGAGCTTATCCTTCAGAATTTAGTGAATAGCAGTATTAACCTTCTTCCTTTCTGTCCCTCTTAAAGATAGAAGAAGCCTTAAAAAGGCATGACCTGCTTACTGCACTTGTCAAGAAAGAATATGAACATAACAAGAGACTGGTATGTTAAGAGCAGGTTGAGTATTACAGTTTTGAGTTTGTAAGTTACATTAATTACTTGTATTTATACAGCTGGGTAACAGATCCACAGACGTCTGTCTTTAACACTTGCCTGTGGAAGCATCTGAGGCTGTAACCAAAACTGATGAGGGGCAAAGGTGCTAAGTACTTTATACAGTTTCCTTTGGTTTTTATAGTAACATAACGGACATGTTTTCTCTGAGAATGCTAACATATTTGGTCCCACTTTCTCAGCAAGGGGCAAGGTTGAGATCTTAATTCAGGTCTGTCTCTGCCTCCACAGCAAGTTCAGGGTACCAGGTGGTTGTAAGCTAGTGTCGTTTGTCCTCTCTGATCTAAGCTAGAGATCTAAGTAGAGAACTGAGCTAGTTTAACACCCTCCCTTCTGCTTTGGATTGAGAATTTTACAGAGCACAGCATCTTCTGTTGAGTATGATGGAGAGGACGGAGGTCAAAGACAGTATGTCGGAAGAAGGGATTTTAAAATTCTTGGTTGAGATAAGCAGTGAGAAGTATACTACTAAACAATTTCAGACAAAGAAGGGGAAGCTCTCTGAAAATCTGCATCTGGTACTTTCGGGGAAAAGAAAACAAGCATCTGCCTGGATATCTTGTTGAGGGGCTTTATGCACATGGCCTCGTTTCATTTTCACTACTTTGTAAGATACTAATTTCCTTAGTTTTGACATAAATACTCTTGGTATAACTCAAACTTTGCTTGAAAGTCAGAATGGCTTTTTTCTACTCCTTTTAAGCTTGCATCTGGGTGTGGCTTTAGGCGACCCCCTAGGGGACACGGGAGATGTGCAATTCCACCAAGATCGCATACAGCAGTCATGGCTCATTGGGGCAGCCTTCTAGACTGGTGACGACCCTACCAACAGCTGGAAGGCTTCTGGGGGTTGACATTTTGTCAGAGTCTCTGCCCATGTATTAGGCCACTGGCCCCGCATGCTTGGCTCACTCCTCGAAGACTTCGTGATGGGGAGTGGGGCAGCTAAGAATGCCAGAGTCTGTGTGCCTCTTGTCCTTACTACCTCTTTTTCACTTTCCCTTTCCCAGCAAGACTTCAAGGACCGCATTCATAGGCAGAAGTTGACACAGTCAAAGATAACAGAAAATCGGCAGCAGATCGTCCGTGCCCGAAAATACTACGATGATTACAGAGTTCAGTTGCGTGCAAAAATGATGCGAATGAGGACCCGGGAAGAAATGGTAAATACAAGTTTTTGTTTTTTGTTTTGAAGATCGATCTATTTTAGAGAGAGAGGGTGAGGGAGTGAGCGAGGGGGAGGGGCAGAGGGAGAGAGAATCTCAAGCAGACTCCCCACTGAGCTCCGAGCCCGATGTGGGGCTCCATCTCATGACCCCGAGATCATGACCTGAGCCAAAAGTCAGAGGTCAGATGCTTAACCAACAGCCACACCCAGGTGCCCCGTAAATACAGCTTTTTATGTAACCCTGTCAAAAGGGTGAATTTTATCTGTTAGCTTTCAGGACTACCTTCTTTGTGACTCCTGTCCCAATTTGCATCCATAACCCAAATGTAAGTCCTAAAGTGCCGGCTGCGAGAGTTTCAACTTGTCCATGCCTCATTTTGTTACCCGCATGGTACATCCCAGTCTGCTCCCAGTCTCTGGTGCCCTCATTCCCTCTAACCTCCTATATGTGTCCTCCAGTGCAACTGCTTCTAGGGGTTTGAGAATGTGTTAGAAGGGACAGGGATTTAAAGTGTGACTAGATGACCTGGATTCCACATAAAACCGGGAAAGGAGTGTAGGACGAATGCTCTGTGAAGTATTTCCCCACAGTATTTGTTCTCCCACCCTAATCAGGCTGAAATGCTTAATCTTTTGGGATTCCAAACTGGCAGTAAATTACATCTCTAGAGTAAAACATTAAGGTAATTACAGTTAACGGGCATACTACTGTCATCCTCATTTCTAGAGGATACTGAGGCTTTGAGAGGTTATATAACTTGACTAAGGTAACACCGCTGACTAATGACAGCGTGGCTGTAAGGACAGTGGGCATATCTACCTTCTGTGAGTAATTTGCTTTCCTCCAGCCCTGTTCGAGGATAACCACCTCACCTCGGTTGTGCACATGTGTAAATGCACCATTTGTTTCTTCTCTGGCTCAGGTTCTTTCACTGTATATGTGGCTGCTTGAGAATTGAATTTTGGGGATACAGGAAAGGATGCTAAACACCACTGGTCATTAAGGAAGTACAAATAAAAACCACAATGGGAAACCACTCGCTAAAATGGTTAAAAAAAAAAAAAGGTGTTGGCAAGGATACGGAGAAGTTCCAGCCCTCGTGCAAGGCTGGCAGAGTGGCGCAGCCACTTTTGATCGCAGTCTGCAAGTTCGTCAGAACATTAGCCTGGCTACCCTGTGACTCCGTAATTTCACTGCGAGGCATACAGCCACACAAATAACCTGTGTACAATAACCTACAGCAGCTTTATTTATAAAACGCAAAAAGAGGAAAAAAACCTCAAAGACTCATCAACTGATGGATAAACAAAATGTGATAGTCCCATATCAAGGTATTATGTGGCAGTAAAAACTAATGAACCTTGAAAACATGGCAAGTGAAAGAAGCCAGACACAAAAGGCCACATATTTTGTGATTTTAAGAAATAATCCAGATTAGGCAAATTTAGAGATATAGAAAGTATTTTAGTGGTTGCAGGGGGTGGGTGAGTGACTGCTGATGGGTATAGGGCTTCTTTCTGAAGTGATGGTGATGGTTGCAAAATTCTGAATATATAAAAATCTGTTGAGGGGCGCCTGGGTGGCTCAGTGGGTTAAAGCCTCTGCCTTCGGCTCAGGTCATGATCCCAGGGTCCTGGGATCGAGCCCCACATCGGGCTCTCTGCTCAGCGGGGAGCCTGCTTCCTCCTTTCTCTCTCTCTGCCTGCCTCTCTGCCTACTTGTGATCTCTGTCAAATAAATAAAATCTTAAAAAAAAAATCTGTTGAATTCTACCTCTTAAAAGTGTGAATTTTGTGGTATGTGGATTATAACTCAGTAAAGCTGTTACTTAAAACTGTGAAATAGAGGGGCACCTGGGTGGCTCAGCCGTTAAACGTCTGCCTTCGGCTCAGGTCATGATCCCAGGGTCGTGGGATCGAGCCCCGCATCAGGCTCCCTGCTCTGTGGGAAGCCTGCTTCTGCCTCTCCCACTCCCCCTGCTTGTGTTCCCTCTGGCTTTCTCTCTGTCAAATGAATAAAATTTTAAAAAAACACAAAACTTTGTGAAATACAGTCAGTATAATTGGACAAAATGCTTCTAATTCCTCTATGAAAGTTCGTCATAACTTTATTTTTCTAACTAAACGACAGATATTTAAGAAATTGTTTGAAGAAGGTTTACAAATTCAAAAGCAAAGATTACGAGACCTAAGAAACTATGCCAGAGAAAAACGAGCTGAACAAAAGATACAGCACCAGAATGAACTAGACTCGATGGAGAACTACTATAAAGACCAGGTGAGCTCACAGTTGCTGGTTCACATTCTCATGTGCTTTGTCCTGACCACCTTGTGTCAAAAATCAGCTTACTCTATTTTATGAAAAACCTCCACAGAGTAACTCAGCCTGTCACTACACTGGTCAGATACATTCATGATAAGCTAGTACTTGGCCACAGTACAGACTCTATTACCCTATTTCTTTTAAAATAAAGAGTTTAAGTCTGAACATTATATATCACAATTGTTAAATTTGGGCTACAGGATAAACATTCGGGTTTTTTTCCTCTCTACCCACAGTTTTCATTGCTGGCAGAAGCCATATCACAAGAACGTCAGGAACTCAAAGCCAGAGAGAAATCCCAGGCCCAGGTAATAATTAACAGGATAGAAATCATTGATTTACATTTTTAAGAACTAGAAAACAACTGTATTACATCTGTGATCCCAAACATTTATTCTATGGTTAATCCTGTAAGTAGGATTTATCGTGTGTTATCTTTACCTGTTCAGTCTCTGTAAGAAGGACTGCTAAGTTATTAAAATTGCAGAAGCTTGAGGAGCTGGAAGGTAAAGGGGGAATAAAAATGGACGGGGGAGGTGCCTGGGTGGCTCAGTGGGTTAAGCCTCTGCCTTCAGCTCAGGTCATGATCTCAGGGTCCTGGGATCGAGCCCCGCATCGGGCTCTCTGCTCAGCGGGGAGCCTGCTTCCTCCTCTCTCACTGCCTGCCTCTCTGCCTACTTGTGATCTCTGTCAAATAAATAAATAAAATCTTAAAAAAAAAAAAAAATGGACGGGGGCCTGGACAAATGTTGTTACTAGCAGGATGACCCGAGTTCTCTTTTAGACATTGTATAAGGTGAAGAGGGAGCTGAGATCGAAGATGGAGAAGGAAATTCAGCAACTGCAGCACATGATAACCCAGAACGACGAGGACTCTTTCTTCCGGGAATTAGAAGCTGAGCGCTTCAGAGCTCGGCTTCATCTGGCTTCTTTTCAGTACAGTAAGAATCCCTTCCTCTGAGGCCCGATTTTATAAGTGCTTTCTGGAAGCCTTGACTAGGACAGAGCTAGAACTGAGCCAGTAAAGAGTCTAAACCAGGAGACTCATTTCTATATGCCTTACTTATATATTCACTCCAATACTTGTTATGACGTAATTTTTTTAAATAAAAATCATTTTCTCCAAGTATACCACTTTGAATTTATGACTTAGGAGGGGGGATAAGGCACACATTGACTGGTCAGAGTTGCACTAGAGTAACAAGCCTTGCTTGAGCAGCCAGCTCCTGAAGCCTGTTGCTGTAGTTCAGTAAAAACTACAAAAATCTCTAATTCAGAGAAGCGCTAGGTGTGGGCTTGTCATCAGAGGTGGGAGCTGGGGTTAAATCTTTTAAGATACTGTGTAAATGGGTGGAGATGTTTCATCTGGTGGCGGGAGGATGAGAATTCGTGTCTATGGCTTCTGTTGGCCAAGGACTGCGTGAGAAGAGGCAAAGAGTGGCAGGCCAGAAGGTACAGGCCTCAGGAAGCACTAGCGCTTGCGGGTGGAAAGGAGGCACAGTGGACTTGACGTGAACGAGTGCACTGGCCCTATTTCTGCTCTGAAGGAGTGTGAGGGGGAGAAACACCCAAACCCAGCAGGGTGTGGCACCTTCCATGGAAAGGGAGACTTCAGCTTTAGTGAAGGCCAAGAGTAGCTGAGGATATGGGGGCTTTGCTGATCAAAGCCAGAGAGTGGCACAGGACACCAGGGAAGGACTGGAGGGGAGAAGAGAGGCTCCCATTAGGGCATGTAGACAGTAGCACGGTGATGAGCATATGTACGTGTTTCGTCTCGCATTTCAAGCCGTTCAGACTACATGACGCGGCTCATTTGATTGCTATGACCAATTCTTGTCTTAAAAAAACATTAAACCCAAGCTGCCTTTAAAACTTTGCCCTCTGGAGAAGAGAGAGGGAGGCAAACCATAAGAGACTCTTAAGGATAGAAAGTTGCTGGAGGGGAGGTGGGTGGGGGGATGGGCTACAAATGGGTGGAGAGTATTAAGGAGGGCACTTGTTACATATGATGAGTACTGGGTGTTATGTGTGAGGAATCACCAAATTCTACTGAAATGATTATATCACTATATGTTAACTAGAATATAAATAAAAACGTGGAAGAAAAATAATTTTAAAGTAAAATAAAACGTTGCCCTCTGAAGAACAAAGCTGTAAGCATCATGCTCCCCGATTTGTCCCTGTCCCTGTACGACAAAGCTGTAATAAAACAGTACGGTATCGGCACAGCAGCACACACAGTTCAGCGGAACAGAATAGAGCCCAGAAATAAACCTACACATACAAGGTTGATTAATTTACAAGTGAGCCAAGAACATACAATAGGGAAAGGAGAGTCTCTTCAACAAATGGTGTTGGGAAAACAGGACAGCCACATGTGAAAGATGATACTGAACCACTATCTTATACACAAAAATTAACTTCCAAGGATTAAAAACTTCAAAGCTTCTAGAAGAAAAGATAGGTGGTAAGTTCCTTGACATTGGTCTTACGGATGATTTTTTTGGATTTGATACTAAAAGTAAATATAACCAGTGGGAGGGACTCTACTAAACTAAACACTTCTGCATGACAAAGGAAACCATCAATGAAATGCAAAGGTAACCTATGGAATAGGGATAAAATCTCAGCAAATGAGATACTAACGAGGGGTTAATAGCCAAGATATATTAATTCATACACCTTGGAAACCTTTGTGGCTCAATTGGTTAAGCGTCCGACTCTTGATTTTAGCTCCGGTCATAATCTCAGGGTTGTGAGATCGAGCCCCGAGTCAGGCTCTGTGCTGGGCATGGAGCCTGCTTAAGATTCTCTCCCTCCTTCCCTCTGTCCCTCTCCCCACCTCATAAATAAATAAGGTACAACTCAATAGCAAAACAAAAAAACCCACAAAACCTATTCAATTAAATGGGCAGAGGAACTGAATAGTCATTTTTCCAAAGACGACACACAAAACGGCCAACAGGTACGTGAAAAAGTGCTCAACATCACTAATCAACAGGGAAATGTGAATCAAAACCACCTCACACCTGTTAAAATGGCTATTATCAAAAACAGGTGTTGGGAAGAGGTAGAAGAAAGGGAACCCTTTGTGCATTGTGGGAATGTAAGCTGGGGCGATGACACTGGAAAACAAGATGGAGGTTCTTCAAAAAATTAAAAGTAGACGGGGCGCCTGGGTGGCTCAGTCAAGTGTCTGACTTGGTTTCAGCTCAGGTAGGACGTCAGGGTCCCGGGACCGAGAACCAAGTGGGACTCCATGCTCAGTGGGGAGTCTGCTTGAGGATCTTTCTCTCCCTCTGTCCCTCCCCAGCTCACTCTCTAAAATAAGTCTTTAAAAAAAAAAAAAAAATCTTTAAAAAAGTTTTTTAAATGAGAATTAGTATATGTCTCAGCAATTCCACTTCTGAAAACACTAACTGGAAAAGATACATGCGCCCCCATGTTCTTTGCATTATTTACAATAGCCAAGATAAGAAAACTTCAGTGTCCATAAGAAAGCATATACACTGCAGTATTACTCAGCCATTCAACAACAACAACAAAATACCGTAAGGGTGTTGTGCTAAGAGAAGTATGGCAGAGAAAGACAAATACCATTATCTCACATGTGGAATCTAAAAACGGAGCTCACGGAGAAAAAAGGCAGTTGTGAAATGGGTGGAAGGGGTCAAAAGGTACAAACTTAGAGTTACAAAGCAGTCACAGGGCTGTAATGTACAGCATGGTGCCTACAGTTCATACTGCACTGCGTATCTGAGAGCTGCTAATAATAGAGTAGATCTTAAAAGTTCTCATCACATGAAAAAATTTTCTAACTGTATATGGTGATGGATGTTACACTAGACGTTATTGTGGTGGTCAGCCTGCAACATCTACGCGTACCAAATCATTAACTTGCACAACTGCAACGGATTATGTCAGATATACCTCAATTTTTAAAAAAAACTTTGCCCTTCGGTCTCGATGGTTCTCCACCTCCTTGCCATGCCAGCATCATGTCTGGGAGAAGGGAGTGGTCTGAAGGGTTGAGTCTGATGCGCGTTTCCATCTTTCTCCTGTACTAAAAGTCAGAACATTATAAGGAGAAATATCCTGGAGGGTCCCTCACCCACCCGATGGACTGCTACAGCTGGCCCCCACTTTCTTCACTTACAAAACACTTCAAGGGAGACAGAAGTGGGGTTTACAACTCATAGACCAATTGTTAACCTAGATAAATCACAGCCCAAATATGCACAAAAGTAGGCTAATCAGCAAGAATGAGTGCTTCAGACCCTTTCCCTCACCACCAGAAAATCATCACCTTGGACATGCAGCCACTGTATAATGAACACAAGCACGAGGAAGAAGCCATATCCCTAGCAACTATCCCCATCCCTAGTACAGAGCCTGACACACAGTAGGGCCACAGTAGGTATCTGCTGAATGAACAAAAGTCATAGGGCAAAGACCTAATAAAACGGAACTTTAAAATCTGGCTCGTCGGGGCACCTAACTGGCTCAGTCAGTAGAGCATGTGACTTGATTTCTGGGTTGTGAGTTTAAGTGCCACACTGAGTAAAAAGATTACTTTAAAAAATAAATTACTTAAAAAAAAAAAAAATTTAACCTTGGGGCACCTGGCAGGCTCAAGAGCATGTGACTCTCAATCTCGGAATTTTAAGTTCGAGCCCCATGCTGGGTGTACAGATTACTTAAAAAGAAAAAATCTCTGGGTGCCTGGGTGGCACGGTGAGTTAAGCATCCAGCTCTTGAGTGATCTCAGGATCGTGAGATCAAGGCCCCATTGGGCTCCGCACTCAGTGTGGAGTCTGCTCGGGATTCTTTATTCCTCTCCCTCTGCCCCTCCCTTCCATGCTCGCCTCTCACTCTAATCTGTTAAAAAAAAAAAAAAAAAAAAACACTTTAAAAAATTAAAATCTGGCTTGTCTGGTTTGCTAAGAGTGTTAATGTAGGAATGTAAGCCTTTTCCCTGTATAATTCTCTTCATCCTGTTAACAAGTCTCCTGCTCTGTTGTATTATCCTAACTGTAAGCGTCTGGGACACACGGTACAAATGAGCACAGCGGGTACCAAATTAATCTACATTAGAACAAAGAGCCAGACCTTTCAGGCAGCCACACAGCAGAAAAACAACATATCAAATCAAAACTTCGGTAATTCATAGATTATAAAAATACTAAAATCCATAATGTACTAACACTACAAATTTCACGTAATAACCAGTAAACACGGCAACGTGAGACCAAGCAAAAAATATTTCAAAAGGCTATAAAAAACATTTCCTGGGTTTTATTCCGCTGCTACCTCCTCCCTGCCGTCCCCGACATTCTGCGCGGCCTGTGCCGCGGGACAGACTGGCACAGGCTGCGCTCTGGATGAAGAAACATCGCAGCCAGTCCTTTTTCTACTGTATTTAGCTGCACTTTCGTCCACCATCACTTATAGAGCTGTGAATCATGGACCCTCAAGTCTTGGTTTCTTGGAAAAATCTAACGGGTTTCTCCTTTTGAGGATTTTACGGCTCGACAGCAAGGCAGCAGAGGCGGCCCCCCCACTGCTCGGGCCACCGGAGCCCCGACGGACACCGTCTGGGCCAGACACGCCGCCCCCGGGGAGCCCTTCAGGGAGCCCGGAGCAGCCCCCCGCCATCCCTCCCCACAGGCCTCCCAGCAGCCACCAGCGGCCAACCAACCTGCTCTGCCGGGGGACAGGGGGCTGCCGGAGCGCTCTGGGGCTCTGCAGTGGGATGAAGGCGACCCCTGAGGCGGGCACGTGAATCTTCGTAAACTTCGCGCCCGGTGGCTCACCTGCCGTCACTCTCAATAAAGCCAGTCGTGACGTTTCATCAGAACAATTAATTCATTATAAACTCAATATTCTTTAAAAACTTTGATGCTGTGGCAGTGCAAACAGCATTCATTTTATTGCTCAACTGCGGCATGGGCACATACATAGTTAATTTTTAAAAACCATTTATACAGATGTTATTGATAAAGCTCATGTAACAACTGAGTGAAAATACAAAGAATATCAAAGCTAAAACACTCTGTAATAAATACAAATACAATGAAAATGATAAAACTTTGTTTTTAAAGTCGGTTTAAGAGAAAGGAGAATATTACA